GGAATCCAAACTCAGAATGTGGCTAAGGATGACACTGAACTTTCGGCTTCCATCCCTAAGTGCTGGGGTTATAACCCATGCCTGGCTAATAACAGTGTTTCATATATTCAGTCCACACAGGCATTTCTGATGTCCTTCATAGAGAGATACCCTGGAACCTGGCAGCTTCCCTGAGCTGCTGGGATCAAGCTCACATCACTGCCTGTGTTTATGAAACAGCTGTCATTCGTTCACACTAAAATGGTGCAGACTCTATCACCACTGTATACCTTTTTATCAAAGCACCTTCCGCGTGGCATGGTTTAGTCAGGAAGTTTTACAGTGAGCATTGCAAAATCCTGTTAATGTCTAGTCATTTATGTGTTTGAGTTAGAAATTATTAGTTTTGAATTTCTAATGAATCCATTTTCCACTTACTAAGCCATATGATTTTGAACAAGTTACTGGCTGTTTTTTGTTTTTCTTTCCTTTCCTTTTTTCTTTTCTTTCTTCCTTCCTTCTTTCCTTCCTTTCCCCTCCCTCCTCTCCTTCCCCGTCTCCTTCCTTCCTTCCTTCCTTCCTTCCTTCCTTCCTTCCTTCCTTCCTTCCTTCCTTCCTCTTTATGAGATGAGGTCTTTCTGCAGTCCAGTCTGTCCTCAAATTCAGTGTTCAGGGGAGGGTGACTTGGAGCTTCAGCCACTCCTGACACGACCTTCCACGTGCGGGGGTTACAGGCAGGTGTACTATGCCTGGCTTCATGGCATTTTTTTCTTGAAAAAAAAAAGAAAAGGAAAAAGGAAAGAAGAGAAGAGCTGAAGGGGCATGCTCTGCCACCCGCCGCTTCTGAGTTTATTTTGTGAGTTAGACAAATCATGTGCTTTGAAGACCTTGGTGGAGATATCTCAATGAGATCAATGTCTGCCTGCTGAGTAACACATTCTGGAAGGTCTGAGAGACCCTGAGTAGGTGGCTAAGATGGCCAGGGAGATCACGAAGGGAAGACAGGGGCTGAAGACATACTAAAGGAAGATACAGTGTAAGGGAACAGAAATGACGTTTGTATTTTTTAAAGACTTTAATTCTCTCACTTTCTTTTGTCCTACCTTTCTTTCTTTTGGCCCCCCTTCCTCTGTCCCTCCCTTCCCCTTCTCTTTTCTCTTCAGTCCTGTCCTCCCTCCCTGTCTCCTTCCCTGTCTCCTTCCCTCCCTCCTTTCTCCCAATTTCCCTCCCTCTCTCCCTCCCTTCCTCTCTCCGTCTCTTTCTTTCTTTGTCTTTTTCCCCTCTCCATTTTTTGGAGACATGGTCTCAATGGAAAAAAAAAATCCAGGCTAATCTCAAACTGGGAATCCTCCTGCCTCAGCTTCTGAGCCGTTGGATGTGCGTCAACACGCCTGGCTCAGCTTTCTTTTTAGAGACTTGAGTCTAAGGTATGGCCATTAGCCGCAGTCAGCTAGCAAGTAGAATCCGAAAGGTGAGCTCTATCGGGAAAACGCTGAGCCCTTAGAGGGAGGTGAGGGATGGAGGAGAAGAGGAGGAAGATGGGCTGAAAGGAGGAGGAAGGATTTCTGCTGCGCTGTTTACAGCTTCTGGGAAAAGACTGGAGACGGGCTGAGAGTGTCTATGCAAATGAGCGGCTCCAAGAACGAGCTTCCACTCAGGGGGCTTATGAGATCAGCTAGATACATTTATAACATGCGTATCAGCAGTGATTCAAATCCAAGGACAAACTTCACTTCAGCAGGGAATTTGGATAGGTTTTCAAGAGTCTAGCAAGAATCAAAAGTTCTAGCCCCCGTGGGAAGACCTCGGTGCTGACAGGAGGCCAAGGCCAACATTTCTGGCTGTTCACTTTAGGAAGGAAGGAGCAGATAGAGGAGGCATTTGATAGGATTTAAAAATATATATATACTGTGATTCCTTTCAAAACTAGAGAACGATTCAGCAGCAGAATGTGACTGGGAAAGGGACACTAAAGTGAGAGGGGTGGGGGCTGGGGGGAGAGTCAGCTCAACAAGTGACAGGAGCCAAAACAATGAGTGGCCTAGCTGGCCGGGTTGTCTTCCTCAGCAGGTGTTTGAAAGGGTGCCTGGTAGGTGTTGTTGGGCACCCTCTTAGCGGAGAGTCAGTTTCCCATAATGCACTTCAGCCTGTGTTCACGATTCTGGAACTAGAGCAGGAAAGAAGCACGTAACTTTCTATGACTATGTGCTATAAGTCTGAGGGCCTCAGGGACTTGGGGTCTGTGATGGTTTGTATATGCACGGCCCAGGGATTGGCACTATGAGAGGGTGTGACCTTGTTGGAGTAGGTGTGGCCTTGTTGGAGTAGGTGTGTCATTGTGGGCGTGGGTTTTAAGACCCTCATCCTAGCTGCCTGGAAGCCAGTATTCTACTAGTAGCCTTCAGATGAAGATGTAGAACTCTCAGTTCCTCCTGCACCATGCCTCCCTGGATGCTGCCATATTCCTACCTTGATGATAATGGACTGAACCTCTGAGCCTGTAAGCCAGCCCCAATTAGATGCTGTCCTTATAAGAGTTGCCTTGGTCATGGTATCTGTTCACAGCAGTAAAACCCTAACTAAGACAGGGTCCTATACTGGGGCTCACTTACAAATGTATGAACTCATAGAGATTCAAGAGAACATGGCGAGAGTTCTGGGATTACCAGGCACTTTCTTAACCTCTGAGTTAGGACCCAAGAGATGAAAATAGGCCTCTAAATCTGAAGAGAACTAATCAGACCCTCTTAAAAACTTTTGTTTTTAAATTGCATTTATTTATTCTGCATAGGCATACCTGTTGGGGAGGATACTAAGGCACATGTGTAGAGATCAGAGGGCAACAGGTAGGAAGAAGTAGGTTTTTATTTCACTATGTGGGTCCTGGGGATTGAACTCAGGTCCCTGGGTTTGGTTGAGAGTGCCTTAACCCACTGAGATAGCTCACAGGCCCTAGATCTCTTACAATGTCTATGGATTGTACTGGTGCCAGCAAAAGGATCCTTTGAGTCCAAGATGGCAATTAGAATTGAGGAGTAGGGATACTGGAATTGCTTGTAGTACAAAAAGAAAATAGTTTTATAGATAATGCCACTTGGAATATGCAAATGAGGAAACAGAGAGGTCGAAGTCAGGCTAGGAAATGTAGGTGGAAGGTTAACCACATGATAGGCTCCAGCCCACTTAAATGCAGCTTGCAAGCCAGTGAGTGTATCTAGGATCCTGTCACTTACAAGTGCACATCCAGTATATTCACTACCCATCCTGATAGTCGCTGTACTTAAACTTGACAAAATGCTTATCATGTGCCGGGTCTTCACGTTGATAGTTTTTACCATCACAACAAGAAGTATATGCTATTATTAATTCCATTTTCCGGATGAGAAAGTTAGAAAATAAAGAAGCCAAGTAAGCCGCTTGAGACCACACAACTGGAAGCCATGAAAGACAAGATGGCGACTCAGATTTTGAGCCCAGGGTCTGAACTGCCACAATGGCAGGAAAGGAAGGGGAGACAGTAAAGGGAAGCAGATGCTGATAACCAAGTGACATCTACTGGGGCTTCTGTGTGCCACACACTATCCCAAGGGCCATGTAAATGCACAGATACACACGCACACACACATACAGATACACACATACACACACAGATACACACACACACATAGACATGCACACACACACAGAGATACACACACATACACACACACACACATCTATTGCATTTCCAAAATAGTCCTTTGTTTCCTTTATTGAAATTCCAGAACATATCACTTAGTAGGTGCTCAAAATATTTATTGGATAACTGGAACAACTCTTCCTTCCTTTCTTCCTTTCTTTTCTCTCTCTCTTTCTTTCTCTCTCTGTCTTTCTTTCTTTCTTTCTTTCTTTCTTTCTTTCTTTCTTTCTTTCT